TTATCAAATTGTCAATAAATGCATAGTTTTTGTAGGAGTTTCTTTGCTTGATTTATTCAAATTCAGCTCCACTAAACATTTATTTTAATAGAGTGCTGCTTGCGCAAACAAGGCTCCAGAGAATTAGCACCATTTCTGCATCTTAGCTGCACTTTTTAGCCTGTTTTACTGCAGTGACTGTGTGGTTCACTATTGGTGCTTCCAGCAGCTGTGTTCATCAGACAAGCACCACAGTAAACCCACAGTTCACGATCTGCCCACCATTGAGCAGCAAACACACAGGGCTGGTCTTGGAGTACCTGTGAAATGTGCCATTTTGCATAATGACTACTTTTAGAGGTATATTTTGATATTAATACTTTTGTACTTAAGTAACATATTGAATGCAGGACTCTATTTTCACACTGTAGTATTTATACTTTTACTAAAGGATCTTCCTCCAGAGCCTTTTCTGTATGAGCAGCAGTTAAAAACCCAACAATACTGAATTTAGTCCTCACCTTCTCAAAACATGAGATAATAGCTTATCAGAATTGTTGACAAATGTTTCTCGTTTCAGCCCAGACACAAACACAATCAATCTGATACCAACAGTTTAATCTTCCAGTTGTTAAAATTCAAAGGCACCAAAACTTTATACTTGTGCAAAAACATCCAGTACTGCACATTCCTACACTGTGCTTGGCCCTGGAATGTCACATATGAATAATACTATATACAGTCACTTTGTAACCTGGTTTAAAAACTAATTATCATGACCAAAAAATTACTTGGCTCAGTATATTATTGCAGCTACGATACTTGTATGCAGGACTTGACATTAACAGGCAAGTAAATGTTATTTCACCAGCTCTGTGAATTCAGTCTGATTTAAAAAAAAATCTTAGCTTATAAATGTTTGAATGCCTTGTTGAGTTCTCTCACAGAAAAACTTTCTAAGATGTGCTCTTGTGGAGAAATCATCTGCTATCTGGGTAATGATGGTCCATTGTAAAGAAAACACTTTAAGCTCTAAATTTAAAAATAAAAATGCATGTCAGTGTTGATAAGATCAGTAGCAGGTCAAAAACGAAGTGTCCACGTGCGCTCTGGGTTGGAAATGCTGTCCGGCGATGCTCACATCCTCTTCTTCTGGGGTCGATGCAGAGACGCTGACTTCCTCCACAGAAAAGGGATGAGTTTATCAAACAGCAGCACTGAGCTCGCCATACCTGGAACAGCAAGAACATAGAAGAAAACTTGGTTAGTGTTTAGAGAAGATTAGATTTTCTTTAAGAAATTAATAAATAGCTTTGCAGCTCATGTCAGTCCTTTTTAACTTAAAGCTCAGACTTTCTGATACCTTTTTTATTTGAGGAAATTAAAATTAATGCAAGATTTTAAGACCACCAGATGCCCTGAGACTGTGCACATCAGTTGGTCTTACCCAGCAATGGGCCCAGCCAGTAGACCAGGCAGTATTCCAGGAAGGAGTTTCCACTGCAGGGGAACTGTGTGGAGAAGGCCAAGGCTGGGTTAAACACCGCTCCTGTCAAATGGCCACCTGGACACACAGATGAGTCACCTTATAAGGACAAAAACTGTTCGGAAACAACTCCTAAACAAGCATCCATCCATTATCTATATCGCTTGTACTGAAGAGGGTCGCAGGAGGTTGGAGTTGATCCCAGCTGACACTGGGCGAGAGGCGGGTCCACCCTGGACAGGTCGCCAGCCTATCACAGAGCTGACATGTAGACAGACAACCACACACACACATACACTCACACTCACTTCTAGGGGAAACTTAGAGTCACTAGTCAACCTAAGCTGCATGTCTTTGGACTGTGGGAGGAAGCCAGAGAGAACCCACGCACAGGGAGAACATACAGACTCCAACCAGAAAGGCCCCAGGTTAATTAGGTTCCGGCTCAAACCCAGGACCTTCTTGCTGTGAGGCAGCAGTGCTTACCACTGCTCCACAATGCCTCCAGCTCCTAAGTTGTCTTTGAAGACAGTTGGAGAGGAGCTGCTTGCCCAGTGATTTATCCTCAGAGTTCAAACAGAAGGCAAACAACAGGACAGGAGACTACATACAAATTCTACACAGGTTGGATTATGTAGTGTTCATACCTTGAACCTGTGTTTAAATCAGATTCTCTTGAGGAACAGGTGCTAAGAGTTGGTGAATCCACTTTAAATTCTCACTGTTGATTCATTAACATTCAGTAAAACTTGATGGTATTTTGGCAGGAGTTAAACAAATAAAGATCAATCAAATTGCTGATAAGCTCATAAACCTGTCAGGTCAGATCATATCCATAAATAGTGGTGTGTGTTACCCAAGCCAGTGATGGGAGGTCTGTTTATGATGTGTCAGTTCTCTTCAGCTTCACTGTTTGGCTCTTTATTAGTATTAGTTCCTTTACTTTGGTCAATTTCATGTCATTCAATGTATTTATTCTGCATCAATCTTCTGACCTTAGTAGCCTATCCACACTATAAACCTAAAGAAAACCTGCTGGAGTGCCAGTCAGCATGCTGACCTCTGACCTCTGACCCCAGACTAACCAACACTGGAGTTTCCATAAAATGCTAATTAATTATTCACATGACGTCAACAAGAGAAATAACAAAACAGTCCGTGTCATACCTGCATAAACCGATGCTGTGATGACCGCAGCTACGGCGTGCACGCGGAATTTCTCCTCCACCGATCGCGTGTGCGTGATAGCAGTCTGAACCGCAAAGGCGCACGCGAGCTCCACGGCGGTTGCTATGGGCAGCGGCGAGTGAATGGCGCTGATGCACCGGTAACCGAGCAGCTTATGTCGCACGTGCAGTCCCGACAATCCCAGACCCCGGGCACTGAGGCTCGTGCAGCAGCGGCCGCAGCGAACTGGCACGCGATCCGCCGCAAGGCGCACCAGCCAGAGATCCTCAGGTGGTAGGCGTGCTCGAGCGCACCGGAGGGGTTCCCGAAGGCCCCGCTGAAGGTGAGCGCGTGCACCACGGCCGCCAGGTACGTAAAGGTGAGCGCGAGGCGAGGCTCGATCCCGCCCACCTCGGACAGCAGCTTCAGCTCGTGTGTGCAGCAGCAGAGCTGGAAGGTGGACACGAACTCCACCGCGTACACCGACAGCCCGGTACCTGCGAGGACCCTGGTCAGCAACCTGCGGGTCGCGTCGCTCAGCGCCACGATCCCTGCCAGCACCGACAGAGACACCGATACGTTTGCAGGCATGTTCGCGGTGATTTGAGCTCTCTGCCGGAGACTGGTTGTTACTTCGGCCTTCGGGAGGTTTCGCTGAATTCGCCTGGGCGCTGAGGTCCTTTCTGGGGTCCCGTTGTTTTCACCCGCTGGCTGTCGCTGCTTCTGGCGGATGGAAGCTTCGGCCAATGCAAGATCCATCCAAGAACAAATGAGCTCTTCCCGCTACTCACATGGTGCGGAAGTGACTGGATCAACTCATACTGCATGAATTTTGTTGGTGTATGTGTGTACAGCTGTGTGTGAAAAGGGGACTTCAGCAGACACATCCCTGAAATAGAGGAAATCCAGACAGAGGTGTCTGTCTGTAAGAAGAGAAAGAAGAACCACGGAGTTTACTGGAAATGAGGACATTTAAATATAATGGCTTCATGCATAAAGTAAAGATTTGATTAACCAGTGATAATCAATGTTTGATCAGGTGCTAAGGTTAATCAATACACAATGTGTAATCAAGCGTTAGTTATTTTGTACTCAAAATAATATAGTGAGCCCTGCTTTAAATCATATGTATTTTATTTTAATTAGATGCTGTGATGAGATTCGTGCATTTTAATCTGATAATATAATGGTTTCTGTATTTGTAATTGAATACCTGTACAGTGTACCTTAACAATAAAAAAATGCTAAGTTATATGCAGTCAGGCACAAAAGATTGTTATTATTTTGGGAGGCTTTGGGCTCTTGTCCTGAAATAATAACATGAAAGAGTTTTATTCTGTTTGCAGCTTCATGGTAGTATAAAATATAATATCTAATATCTCTGCCTAAAAACCTCAAGCAGTGTTTGGAGCTTCGATAAGTTTAAAATGTGCCACCTTAGTGGTTAAACTATGTTCCTATGTTCAGGGGTTGGCAAATCATAGCACTTCTGATGCTTGTCAAATTTTAGCTGAACTCTACTCATAAATTGAGGCCAGCAGCTATGTGCCTCATGCCTTAGAGCCTGTACTGTATCTACATCATGCTACTGGTAGCCTGTCGTTCATCCCCATCATATCCACAGATAAGAACTCCAATACAAACACAAGATTCAGATTTATAAGGACATAATGAACACACTCAGCCAAGCAGTTCCCCTGAGAAAATATTAGCTTATAATAATATAGTAACATATTACATATTACTACATTACTGTGAAATTTGCCTTTCTGCATACATTCTACTTTAACTTTTGGTACATTAAATATATTTGGTGCTTAAACTTGTGTACTTTGATCTTGAATTTAGAACTTTTACTTGTAATAGAGTATTTTTTATACTTTGGTAGCCTAGTTGAGTAAAGAATCAGGATAACTACTTCCAACAAGTCCTATAGTTTACAACCCATATGGTCATTTGTCCCTTCCCTTTATATTGGCTACGACCCAGTAAAGCATCTCTTTTGCACAGTGGAGGAGGCGGGGCAGAGCTAAATGTTTCCAGCAAAGATGTTGTTACTGAACTGTTATTGAACGTCTTCAATCCCACCACAAGGTGTTGCTGTCTCCTAATTCTTCACCTCATTTAATACTGTACTGTCATAGTTGCCAACTGTTGCAGCTGTTTTCTGGTTTATTGAACAGTGCCATTCCAGGAAACAATGATGTCCTCAAGGATTAATTTAGGCTTATGCTAAACAAACTTAATTTTGTTATTGATTAGGTGGAATAAAACTTATTTTGAGCACATTATCTGTAAAGGAAAAATGCTTGTTAGTGTCCAGGTTACATTTGGGCTGGAGGGGAACAAAATGTTCAGAGCAACTCAGTATTTTACCATAAATTCTTTACTTGACTCCGGGAGAGCCCTGCACAAGAATTCCTATATGCCAAGTCTGTTTATGCATAAATGGCTAATAAAAATCTTGAAATGTGTATCCTACTTAATTTTGCTAAAAAGTGTGGATTATGATGCAGAGTAAGAAAGATTTCATATGCAGAATGTCAGAATGATAAGCTCCAACAGACGTTTTACCTCACTCTGCCCATGCAGAATATATTGGAAAACATCTTTCTTTACTGTACATTTTGCATGATCCAGTTTACTGTCAGTCATGTAAAAAGTATAAACTAATTTCCACTAATCACATATCCATCACATGGGGAAAATATTGTTTGATATTCAATAATATATAGCCAAATTTAATAATTTGAGGGACATTTCAACAAAAATAGATATACGTAATATTTTAATTTGATATATGCTTTTTATATATTTAAACATTGTAGATAATAATAATAATAGTGGGTCGACTGGATTTGGTCATAGTTTTAAATAACCTCGAAAAGTTTTTTTAATGTGTGTATGTGTTCTCTTGAATTAATTCTACATAAATTCCTACATTTTCATAGCTTTTGATCGATCAGTGGATTTACTCCTGAAAGCAACGCCCTCAGCAAGACTTTGGAGGGTAATGGGATTTCGGACATTTATTTAACGGCTATGAATGCATCACCGCTCGCACCCAGCCGGCGAGCTTTGACCCGCCCAGGGGGCTTTTAAAGTGACATCCGCACCAGCCAATCGGTGATGGGCGCGGTTGTGCACTGACCAATTGCATGTCCGGAGTGGCGCGTGAGGGAGAGGGTGTTTCTGTGCGGCAGGGTGTTCTGAAATTAGCTAAGAATAGCCAAGGCTCGTTAAGTTTACTGTTAAAACGGCAACCAGGAGGGCGACGGATCGTAGCAGAGTACAGAGGACGTAGAATTTACCGAATACATGAGACGGTGTGTCCTCGTGTCGGAAATTATCACACAACATTCGGGGATTTACGTTTGCAACCAGACAAGTGGTAAGCGAGCCTTTATTAGTTTATTTGCAAACCTTACATTTAGCCATTCAGCCTCCTTCTCAGCCAGGCATGGTGCATTGTGAACTGGGGGCTCATTTGCTAGTGAATAGAAGAGGGCTAATGCTCATTGTAGGCTGGGGTTGCTCTGAATTTGCTTTTATATATCAACGCTCCGGACCCGGCAGGCCCATCAACCCGCACACAGCGGACCCGAAGTCAGTCCCGGGGAGGTTGGAGGTGGATGGTTTGAATATTTATTTTATTACGGCCGTTTCCTCCCAGTTTCCCAGTAGGTAGCGATAACATGGGAGTGTTTGTGTTGCCGGACTGATAATACAGAGTAACGAATGAATGAAATCCTGCCAGTTTCCACTGGTCCATAACTGAATCTACCTCACAGGAGACCTCTGACATGATTCACCCGAAAGTCCATGTCGTGCCCCAAGCTTTTGTGTTGTAGTCTAAGAATAACGTTACACAGACAGACTGCTCTCCTCTCACAGGAATTATTTAGCCTTAAAATTTATTTTTAAGCTCTTATACTTGGAAATAATTTGAGAAGAGACACATCAAAGTTAAATTCTTTTTTTTTCATGAGATATAACAGAAAGCTGAAATCCTCTTTATATGTCCAAGCCTAAATTATCTGTGTACTAGAACTGGATATGCTGTCTTTGTTCCATTCACAAAGTCCAGATTCATTTAATTTCAATGTAATTCTTAATGACCACTGTTGTGTGAAATGCATCTAAATTTCTTCTACATTCAAAAAGTGAGCAGCACTGTTACCTTGAGTTGTGCATGTTTCAGGCTAAATTGTTAATATGTCAAAAAAAAAAAAAAACTGTGAACCAAGGATTTATTTTTCTTGGTAAATCCTAAACAACTAAAGCCTGATTCATCAATATTTTTAGGACTACATGTACAGAACAGTTCAACAAGAATGGACGAACCTGCACCACTCACAGGACCGCCTTCGTTATACATATACGTGTATATATATATATATATATATTCACACACACACACTACCATATATATATAATTTTTTTAATTTTTATAATTGATATCATGGTGGCACAGCGGTGCAGTGGTTAACACTGCTGCCTCACTGCAACAAGGTTCTGGATTTGAGCCTCTGGCCGACCCGGGGCCTTTCTGTGTGGAGTCTGCATGTTCTCCCTGTGCCTGCGTGGGTTCTCTCCGGCTTCCTCCCACAACCCAAAGACATGCTCAGCTGGGATCGCCTCCCGCCCCCCCCCCCGCATGGCCCTATTCAGGAATGAGCGGTATAGATAATGGATGGATGGATAATTGCTATCACATACACATGGACTGTCAGTATCATCCCCTACAGCTACATACAGGAGCAGATGCTTCAGTCTCGATGTCCACTTTAATGGTCAGTTTTAGCCCAGACAGGGCAAAAACTGATTAATCTGCACTGTTTTTATTGAAAAAATCATCATTGACCTGGTATCTGCAGACAGCTTTGAGCTAGTGTTAGCTCCTCAGCAGTTTTTCAGCAGGAAGATAATGAATATAGTAGGATCCACACACTGTTAGCTTGACTTCCAAGGCCTAAAATCTCATAGCCAGTAATAATATCTTTGCAGCAAACTAAACAGAGCTCAGATCAGTGTGCAGAGAGTTTTTCAGTCTGTCCTTCTAAGATTTATAATTCTGTTAAGAGAAACCCATAGTCATCTCCTGAGTCCCGAATCTGTGACCTGCCACAATTTATGGGACTATTTGTGAGTCAGCGTGGCTCATATAGCTGTCAGTCTTCTACAAACTGGTGACAAATGAAAGTAAAATGATCAGCAGAGCCTTGTCAGGGCCGCATCTCCAGAGCAGCGTCGGGTCTCCTCTGTCGGAAGGAGGAAACATCCTCCTTGCAAACCAGATTCCTCACTGAGTGTCTGACACTCTGGGAATAAACAGATCAATCAGATCATCAGGACAGTGATCAGCTGATTGATCAGTGATCACTGCAGATGCTTCCTGAGAAAAGGCCATATGCACAGATCGATCCCAGGATTTTAAGTCTCGATATTCAGCCATTCAAACCTGCCAGTGTTGCTACCACTGTGTCTGCAGTAGTGACTTTACTTTGACTTCACTGTGCTTTTCTGTAGATTCCCATCACCTGTTGTATAATTAATCACTGTGAACTTTGTCTTCTATGTTAAGTGAACATTAATATGCGTTTTCTCATGGCTCAGTAGAAATCAGAGCAGTTCTCTTCATCCTGGAGGGAGTTCAGTGTGAGCCTGTAGGTTTTTGAGGGTTTAGTAGCTTTTGCAGGTCAGACTATGTTTATAGTGTATGTGTTGTGTCATATTGATTGCAAACAGGTAGACAGTAGTGTGCTAACCTTCATCTGGTATTTTTATCATCATTACTTATCATTACTGCCTATTAACATTGCAGGCTCCATCCACCCGACTCAGGCTGAAGTTGCCTTTTTTCTTTTCTGGTAAAAGCTTCACCTTCATCTGACTGACAATCGAAAGCTACAGGTGTGGATTAGAAGTGTTGGTGGTTCACTCCAGGTTTGCTGTTGGTTTGACCCCCAGTTGGCACTGGACTCATTGTATTACCATTCATTCCTCCATGTGTTTGATGAAACCGTTTCACATTTGTATGAGGAGAGATATTGGTGGAGAGCGTGAGCAGACACTTATCTGTTTTTATTGTGGATCATTTTCACTTAGATAAGGGCCCATCAGAGTTCCTGTGCTGTATGTTGTAGGCTATAGGTTACAGTTTATTACTTTGTATAGAAATTCAGACGTCAGGCTTTAGAAAGGTTGAGCGTGCAGTACAATCGTTTATTAATTAATTTTATTGCATCATTGATGTTCCATGGATAAATCATTGATAATACTGATGCATGTCCAAAATCTGATCTCTAAGACAGTCCTGAAAGAAATTAACCTCTTGAATCGTGATTTATGGTTGTTTGCTTTTAAGAAGCATTTACATGAGGAAAAGAATATTTTGTGCACAGAACCACACCATGAATATCTGCTGTTTCCAACTGTGCTTTGACATTGTCACTTACTGAAACCTAGTTGGAACAGTTTAATACACATCTAACAAATTTGTACGTTTGGGTCTTCAGTGGGATTTAAATACCTTACTGTTGGTTTGATGGCTGGGTTTTTGGCTCTAAAGGAGATTGTATGGATTCACTGGTGAGTGTGTCAAAACTACTGCTGCAAATCAAATAGTGAATTAGTTACAAGTGTGATTGTCTCACCAGCCACAGTGTGGACTTTAAGTACAAATTAAAATATGATCCTACAGCATGAGTAGCTCACCAGTCTGAAATAAAGAACTTACCTAGAAGGACATCAGCCTTCAAATGAGCCAGTGACAAGAAGTCCGCTTTTCAATATCTGATCAGAAACATGATTTATTAACTTAGTGATACCTGAGTGATCACTGAATGTGACCACCTTAAAAAGGAAATGGACTTCCTGGTTTGGCTGCGGAAAATTCCATCTGTGGGTTAGGTTATGGTTTAAGGCCAGTGGTTGCTATGGAGACCTAGGTGCGGCTAAAGGAGGGTTTTACAGCCCCTCATGAAGCACGAGGCCACCCAGTTGTCGCTTTGACAGCGAGAGAGAGGGGCTTGGAGGTGTTAATGACCCATTTGGCTGCTGTGGGACTGTGCTTGGCTTCTTTGGGAGAATGAGGACTGTGTGTGTGTGTGTTATCTTGGGAATGTGTGTGTTTTCCTTTTGGCTAGCCTTTGGATGCTGCTTCACCTGTCATTGAAGCTATTTTTAAACCTGAAACAGTTTGTTTGGCTCTGAGTGAATTAGACCTGCTGACTTACAATGAGCTGCTCAGCGCAGGGTCAAGCCGCACACAAACATACAATACACCTAAAGTCATTGGTTTTATTTTTTTCTCCTGATTGTTTCTGTTGCTGTGTTTAGCCCATGTTTTTGTGGTTTTGTGAAAACTTAGTCATACCTTAGGCATCAAGAAAAACAAATGCTGAAGTTGAAGAAACAAAACATTTGTTCACTTTTACAAGGTGGAAATGATCTCTGCATACATTTGCTTTGTTGCAGAGAGTTGGATGAAAAAACCGATACCATTCACATGTATGTATGCTAAACATGAAGCTACAGCTACTTGGCATAACACAACCATCAGAAACCACTAATCTGACCCTGTCCAGGTGTGACAAAAATCTAGATTCAAGGACGTTTCTCTCTGGCAAAGCCAAATCGTCTGTGTTGTTTTTTACACTTCAGCTTTTGTATGGATTCACCAAACAAAGTGTACCAGGTTGGTTAGCTTTAAGAGTGCTGTTAGTCTGATTTTTGATACTTTTTGTTTACTTTCAAGCTATGAAAGGATTTATGTCTGCAATCAAAGAGTTACCCATGAGCATGGATATTTTTCCTTGCAGCGTAGACACATGCAGTAGCAACATAAATAGTGGCCGTCGAGCAGCCTTCAGCAGATGAATAATAGATGGTCTGTCTGGAGGCTGCTGAGCCTGACGTCTTGACGAACTATGACATTACAAAACTACAAGCACCTTCCCTCGCCATCAAACAGGCTAACCGTCTGTCTTGGATGAAAGCTATAATCCTGGATTGATTAAGCACCTCTTCAGTGTCATTAAACCAGGAGTTGGAGCTCTGCCGCAGGAGAAAGAGAAGCTTTTACAGGTGGAGCTCCATTGAACGATAACATCAGTGTAATTTAATTTGTTTTCTGTCAGGTTGTCTTTCCTGCTTTCAGAAGGTCATGCTCTCTGTTGTACCACAGGCAGTGTTCTAGTTGAGTCTCGTGTCCGAGTCGAGTCTCGAGTCCCCAGTGTTTGAGTTGAATCTGAGTCACCAAAGAATAATTCAAGTCTGAGTTAAGTCCCTGTTATCCGAATCTGAATCATCAGGGTCTACATTAAACACAGTTGACAGCTCTCCATCATTTTGATGGACAGGGTCATTAAAATTCTGTAATTTAGTGAC